TTGGACATTGAGCCATTGGCTGCAACTCTCCGAGTGCAACCACCCAGCCAGTTCCTTACCCACTGAGTGGTCCATCTGTCAAATACACATCTCTTCAATTTAGAGACAACGATGTTGTGCAGGACAGTGTCAAGTGCTTTGCACAACTTGAAGAACTTTACAGCAAGTGTGAGCTCCACAGACCTTTTTACCTGTAAATACTATGAAAATAACAATTGCTGTTGCAGACAAAACAAACAGTCATCATCTATTTTCTTTCTTGTGAATGCAAACATTATTGATTTGTTTTGATGAGGAGAATAACTGAAGTGCTCAATACTTTATTTAATGATCGAAATAACAGTTAATCAACACAAAAATACTATGAAAAAATCAACTATCTGCAATATAGTGAACTAGGATTCATCTTCATTTTAAATGTGAAATTACTTTGTTCTGCAAAGTGAGGCAGTTGCTTCATATTGGGAAATGAATCCCTGCTTATTCAGTTTTTAACAAGTGTCAGAGTTTCAGCTTCAAATTAATAGTTAAAACCAAACAGCATCACCTTCTTTAAGTCAATTAAACATATCTGTAGACACAAACATCATGGATGCCTACAAACTGGAGCATTCAGCAGTGTGGGGCAACAGATACCACAATTAAGTCATACTCCGAGACAGGTCAAGGGGCTCAGGATAACAAAGTGCCTTTGTCACACAGTGTGAGCCAGGCAGTAAGACTGTCCCTACGGTGGGGATGGCATGGGCAGCGCAGCCCTGAAGGAGCCTTTGGGAGACATCAACTGCTCTCTGTGTTTGCTGCACCATGCTTTGGGGTGATGCAGATGCATCTGACCAGCCCTGCTGGCAATGTGAGAGGTAACTGGGTAGTCACTGGGCACCAGGGCGTGGGGAGGGGGGGGGAGAATATCGATGCTCTTCCCAATCCTACTGCTACAGCCCTTTTATTGATGCAAATAGAAATCTCCCTTACAGCCCTAGCAGTTTTTTCCCCAGCAGAGAATTCCTCCATGCTGTAGAAACATCAGCCCCCCTAATAAAACCACAGAGGTCTCGCTACCCTGGTACTAAACTAAGTTGGCAGTGTGGGACAGGCTCTGGTCCCCTGACTGCTTTTCATGCAGTAAGGAGAATCTGCCATCCCTAATTGAATTCTTTTTAACTATGCACTATAATGAAGGGAATGTTATCACAAAGAGGTAACGGGGAAAAATCATTAGGCATCTTGTCTGTTACACCAAATATTTTAGCTTCTTGTCAAACTAAGATCATCTAAGTTTGATCCGATGTTCCTAGAAGAAGCTGGCTGCAAAGCTGCCCTTGGTACTAAAAAGAACGTGTAATTTTTTGGACTACCTTCCCTATTCTGGGACTTGCTCAATCTTCCTCTACAAGACAAAATAAATTTTCCAAAGCTTGCTGATCTTGCAGCCTATGAGGACAGCTTGCATTCATACAACATGCTTCACTTACTCAGACTATTTGAAGTGGCCTTCAGAGCTACCCACAAGTGACAATAACAGCCCCAAGGTGGGTAGGGTTCTTCTGATCAAATGTACAACCTTCCTCCAGATGCAAATAGTTAAGAAGGTAGCTGCTGTGGAATGGGTTAAATACTTATTTTGAGATCAAACAGATAATTTTTTTTAAATTAATTGAAATAGTATATTAAAACCCCTCTGAGTGACTCGTAGGAAGTCCCCACAGGTTGTTTTGAGCTAACTGGTAATACTAATCAGATCCCCTGGTTGAGTGGCACATTTGGTTTTCATTGGTCTTTCCTGAATTTTCCACTTCCTCTCCTTTTTTTTTGGCAATCCTCCACATAACCAGAGCTTTGCAGTTATGCACTCTGCAGCATATATTGCAAGCCAGGCATGTCCTATTAACATCTCCTCCACTGGCTGTATTGTTTAGCTCCTTGAACAGGACAGCAGGGTTCAGGAAATTTATTCTTTTTCTCCTTTCTGCCACAAACGTGCCAAACAAGCCTGGGAAGGCTCTTTCACCAACTCTGTTTCTCCAGCAATGAGTGCCCTGAAGTTGTTAGATCCCCAGAACGAATCTCAGCTAAGTACTATCAATGTAACTCAAATGGTGATATTGATACTGAGGTTAACAGGAAACAGTGCACATCAACAGGTAATTTTAAAAGTTGATCCATTACCTTTCTAGCCTTTGCATGGTCATGGCTAGTGTTTTGTTCAGTTCCTCTATCATCCGGCACCCTGAAGGGTGAATGGGCAATGTGCTGGACCCAGAAGGCAGGTGCTGGCTATGGCTGCCGTACTGGAGCTGGTGCTGGTGAGCTGCTAACTGGGATGGCAGGACAGTGTGATGGTGCTGGGTCAAAGGCTGCTGGGAGCTCTTCTGCGTGGAATAGGATGAGAGAGAGAGGTCTGGCCCCCCTAAAGGCATGCAAATCATGACTTTCTTTGGAGGTAGTGGAGGTGACAGTTTAACTGGCATACAAGGCAGTTTCACAGGAGCACCAGGATCTAAAACAGAAGAAAGAGAGGCCCTGGTGTTAATTTTCATGTCAGTAAGATGGAGATCAGAGTATCTGCCTGGGCGAGCAGGTACTGAGGTCGCGCACCCCTTCCCTGCTGCGACAGACAACTCTGCATAGTGTGCGCTCAGCATGGTCTTCAGAAACAATACTGTTGTTTGGCAGCACTTCTGAGTCTCACAAAAAACATCCCAGGGCTGTGCATGCCCCTTAATAAACACGTTAAGCAATGCTTAACAAGGCTTGTGGCACACTTTGACGCTTTAAAGCCCTAATCCTCCAAACGCGCCCTGTGAGGTAAGCGCAATGTCTCCCGCTCAGCAGGCACGCAAACGGAGGGAGAGCAATTTGGTGTCTGAAGTTACAGGATGACTCACCACCATCATGGCTGGAGCAAAAGCCCAGGGACTCCTGATCCTCCTCAGCCACTGCAGTGCAATTACTACAAGTCACATCTTTAACAGCTTTGTAATGTGCAAAACATCTGGTGTTAAAAATTACATTACAGGGGAAGAGGGAAAAGAAATAGGGTTTGAATACTAAACAGGAGTGATCTGGAAAAAGGAAGGGTACAGGAGAAGAAAATGATAAAGGGCAGAAGATTGTTAGGATTAACGTATTCTTTTACAGAAGGCTTGGCAAGCACTTTTCTCTGGACTCATGCACTGAATTTTAACCTTTTTAACTCTAAGCATGTTAATTGAATCACATAGTTGACCTGCCAGGCAAAGACTCCCCTGACTTCCATGAGAAACACATGAGAGGTCCACAAGCAAAACCCCTCTGCCAGGACTGTGCTGCAGGATGGAGATTTTTGGAGTTGCAGTGTGAAATGCTTTCAGAAGGGAGAAAAAGTAATGAGAGGGCTTGTAGTTCCCAAGACGGGTGTGGGAAACGGTCATAACGCAAGCTAAGAGCAAAACCAAGAGCAAATACATATGTTGTGAGCTGCAACTGTGAGTCTGTGTTTAGGAGGAAGGCCAAGCCCTTTCCAGCCTGGAATACTGCAGACATTTGGCTCTGCAATGCAGCTCTGTGGGCAAGGCTTGCATGATCTTTGGCCTCTTGTTGCTTCAGCCCACTCTTCTTGCTGTAACATAGTAAGGCAACCGAAGGGCCAGAATCTTCTGATTTGAGAAAGTTTGGGAGTTACATGTTGCTTTCCAGGTTTCAAAGACCATTAACCTCCTGAGTGATATCAGATTTATAAAGCCATTTTTCAGATGGTTCTTTTTAGTATTAACTATCCTTTCTCTCTCTCATCCCCCTTATTCTTTCCTCCCTCCTGGCCTATTCTGGGTGTTGTCTGTACTGGTATCCATTTCTACTAGCCAGGGTGCACAAGGTAGATACTAGGACTTCCAAGCACTAACACTCCTTGAAAGTGGATAAGGACAGTAATGTGGAAAAAGACCACGCATGGAGCCAAGCTCAGACATGACATAAGAGTTTTTTTAGTGCTAGTTGTAGCCTCCTTGCATCCACGGTCTCCACTCTTTACTACACTAGGACAACACACTGACAGTAAACCTTCTCTTTCTTCAAAGAGCTTATAGGCTAATGACATCGGAGAGGCAAAGGGTATGGAAAGATGAAATATAGAGGCATGGAAAGAAAGTGGTCCTTCGACATTGCAGAGTAGGAGAGTTATAGAGAGCAGAACCCAAGACTTTCAGCTTTCAATGCAACATCATATCCACTTGACATGTTGTCTCTTGAAGGCAAAAATTCTTCTGATGGTTCCACCAAGGCTGAAACCTAACTCATGGGATTGCCAAACCACAGGGCACTGCCCTCTCCTCTAAAGCAGATTGCCTTCTGTACAGTAGAAATAAAAGACTTTCAAGATTTTCTATTCATGCACAGGAAGGTCTCCAGGTTACTGTGTTTTTCTTACATACATGTTAACTGTTTAAATTTCCTCTTTGTATCCTGCATAAAAGATCATACCTCTTCAATAAAAGGTAAATAACAGAGTAAAGACTAAACTGTAGAGCTCTGAGAATAAGGCTCCTATGGGATTTGTAGCAACAATGTGTTTTCATACATTTGTGCTCCAGGCAATTTAACTTCTAGAGCTAGTCCTGAATTGCAAAGACTATACTGAGATCCGCACTTCCATTTTGAAAAGTGCAGGTTTGACTGTCAGTTTTAGATCCTCTTCTGCTGTATCTCAGTCAAAGTCTTCATCTGACAGTGCCTGGACACCCCACTACTCTGTGTATGATGCAGAGGAGTCTTCTTTAATGGTGAATTCAAAGAGATCCCAACTGCAGGCATCTCTTGCTTCTGACAGAAGAATGACTGGAAGCATCAACTGGGTTTGCTGCCTTCTGTGATCCTGAAGCTTAGAGCAATATTGTAGGTTGGATAACATGCCAAATGGTTCAGGTATAAAGCAAACAGGAATCCTTCCATCCTTCCTCTAAAATATAGTGAAAATTTCCTTTCTCATGCAAGCATTCATGTACTAGAGTTGTGATGCAGGCACTGCAGTTTTGGAGTTGCAATTTAGGTATTGGCCCTAATACCTAAATAGGGCTTTGAAAATGAACCAGAGGCATTAAATCTACTTGTCTGCCCTTCACCCTCGGGTGAATTCTACTTGCTTGTTAAAAAAAAAAAAAGTCTAAAAGGAGAGTGACTGCAATGGGAGGAGAGTTCAATCCATTCGCTCGGAAATGTGTCAGTATATATTCATCCACATCAGTAACGGAGACCTCCTATTGCAAGTTTCACTCCATGGTCAGATCAGCGAGTGTGCTGAACATATGGGGCCATCCTCAAATCCACGGGCTCCAGGCACGCTGTTGGAAACTGCCCTACCATCATCTACAGTAAAGCAAAGAACAACTAGTCCCCTATGTGTAAGACTGAGATGACTGTGTTTTACAGTTCCTTCCTCTGTTTAGTTTTAATTTCCCAATGTATGTGACATATGAACCAGGGGTGGAATCAGTCATTCTCTCCAGCATGGAACATCCATCAGACAGGGACATCTGTAGATGAAGATGGACAGGAGAAATAAGAACAAGGAATCTGCTACAAGTATCTTCTCAGTGGAACATTACCAAAGTCTTAATCATTGCACAAAGCACTTGTGTGACAGAAGAGAAGCAAACTGCATGAAGCCAGGTGTGCAAGTCTGATTAATCTGTTTTGGCTGAGGTTCTTCAGGCTCAAGAGAATAATGAGCAGTTTTGAAAGACGCTGGTTCCCAGCAGGGCTGTGACCACTCAGAACTGTGCATGCTTAAGTAATAACTGTGCCAGAATTGATGAAAGAGATGTTAAGATACAGAAACCTTCCCACTGCTGATGACAACACTTAAAAGATAGTTGTGGATACCACAATATTTGCTGCACATCAGACCTACGACAAACAGGCAAGCCCTCAGTCCTTCCATATAGATAATTTTGCTAACACCTACAGCTGCTGCATTTTCTTTTGGGTTTTCAGGAGACAGATAAATATACTTTTGTTCACTGCACAGAAGGTTTGCTCATGCACAGTTCTTCTGATGTTATTTGTGGTACACTGGGGCTGTACATCAAGTACAACAAGTCTGATGCTTCCTGGCCACTGAACATGGCTGGAGACTTGGTTGGCACGCTGCAGATACAACTGCTGCAGACAGGGTGCTAGGGGGTTCTGGATGTATGGCAGCAAATGTTGCTCCAGCAGGGCTGCTAGAAAAGCACATTAAAATGCTCAAATTCTGCCCCAGCACAATTACAGCACGGAGAAAGAGGGCACGCCTGGGAATACTGGGCTGTGGCAGAGCTGGCTATGTTTGCTATCGTGCCAGTGGGAGCAAAGCTCTTCCTTGACTCCCTGTGATGCCAAACAGGAGCTAGCATTGTACCCCAACAGCAAAGGCAGCCAACAGCCTCCCGGGTTTTGTGAGTAGAAGCACAGCCATGAGATCAAGGGATTATTCCCCTTCTATTCATCACTCCTTGGACTGGTATCTAGATTACTGTTGTCAAGCTTTGGGCCCCTCAGGAAAGACATCAAAAACCTGGAATGAGTTGAGCAGAAGGCCACCATGATGGTCACAGGCGGGAGCACCTGACCTGTAAGGACAGGCTGAGGGACCAGGGCTTGTTCAGCTTGGAGAAAAGACAGCTTGTGGGGCAGGTGACACCTACCAGCAGCCCTCCAATACTTGTGAGGAGGTTTTCAATAAGCTGGAGCCAGGCTCTTCACAGTGGTGCATGGTGGGAGGAGGAGAGGCAGCGGGCAAAAATTCAAACAATAGGCTCAAGACTGGACCATAAGGAAAAGGTTTTCCCCCATGAGAAGAGCCAAACAGTGGAACAGGTTTGTCCAGACAGGTTGTGTAGCTGGCATCCTTTGAGGTTTTCAAGGCCTGGCTAGACAAAGCCCTGAGTAACCTGGCCTGATCCCATAGCTGGCCCTGCTCTGGGCAGGAGGTTGGACTAGAGACATTCCGAGGTCTCTTCCCACCTGAATTATCTCATACTATGACCTTTGTTTTATTATATACAAGTAATACAACCCGTCATAAAGTTAATGAGTTACTCTTTAAATCCCCTCCAAATAATTAATTCTGTAATGTGCAGAAACCAGCAAGGCCTGTTGTGGAGGCTCTGTAGGGGAAATGAGGTGGTGTGCCTCATTTTTTGCTGGTAGCATTCAGACAAGTAACTTTTACTTTTTCAGATCTTCCCTCTGGGAATCACTTGTGCCTGAACAGTGGGAGTCTCTTTTCTTATTTCAATGCGTTTTTTGAGCAGATTCATAAAGATAAGTTAAAAACTTTTCTCAAAGATTTGCCATCCGTCTCTTGCTGACCACAGCAAGATCTGCAGCCATGTCTTCGGGGAAGGTTTGAGACTGAAATTCTTTGCTTTTCTTCTGCACCATGTATGCATCCAAGGTTCAAGTTGAATTTGGAGAACACAAGCAAAGCATGCTTAGCCTAAAGGCTGAAAAGTACAGCTTTGCATGAATTCCTGTGCAGAGCCTTGAAGAAGGTTTCAAAGACGAGACGATTTCCTGCTGCCTATATGTGTTAGGTACTCCCCTCCAGGTAGCAACAGGCAGAAGTATGGAGACAACAACTGCATCAGGTCCAGTTTCCTGGGAGAGCCTGAGGGTGGTGGTGAAGGAGAGCTGCTTTTGCTCTGCTGCCTCTCCCTCGAGCACACGGAGACACAACTAGAAGGCCCAATCTCAGAATGAAAAATTTGCTACGCCTCTCCTCAAAATCTTGACTGAAGAAAGCAAGAGAATGCAAAAGGGTTTTCAAAGATTAAGTACAAAAGCTGAGTGGCCAGGTACAACCAAGGCTACACCCTAGTGCAATATTAGTCCAACTTTGGGCTCAAATGCACTCAGGTGTTGTTGAGATCCCTGCTCAGTGGGATATATTTTGTTCTCTGATGTTTTAGGGGACTTCATGGGTTACTTATGATTCAGCTGTTTGAATGGAAAATACCAAATTGATTTCAGAAACCATTATCTGTGCTGGTGAGAAGTAACACCTTAACGAATCAAGATCAAAAGGAGATTTACACCACCGGGGTATGCTGTCTATTAAATCAGATATGATCAGTCTTCTTGTCACTTTTGGCCATTAGAGATTTTATGATAATCTGGGGACTCCACCCCAACAGCCCAATTCAATTTGGTCCCTGGTGATTATTTTGGTTCCTCCTACATTTTCAATGAAGTAAAGGGGCTGCAAGTGCTGTCCTAAATGCCTGGGTATTGAATATGGATACTGGAGAATTAAAATTATGAAAGATTTTCTATCTGTGAAGATTGTCTAATAATAACCACACCTGAAAAGCAGCAGAAGGCTCACCAGGGGGTAACTGGCCAACAGGAAACGCAGAGCCATGAAACAACAGTATCAAAACAGTTAAGGACCATATTTTTCTTCTAGGGTTGCCTGTCTTTGCAATTTGTATTTGCTAGAGGCAATTCGCTCTTCCTGTCACCTTTAAAACATTCTCCACAAAATTAAATGTGCTTTTACATGTTTATTTTAGGCCTGCTCTTTTATGTGTGTT